ACAATAATAATAATAATAATAATAACAATAATAAACTGAATTGAATACAAGAATTAACATCGTAGGCGTGTTCTAACTATAGAAGGGCTGCTACAGATCATAGCATAGGAGGAATAAACAGCAGATTTCTCAATAGCTCAATTCAAGGTAAAGAAAAGTGGTTTAATCTCATGTTTAGATAAAAGCTGCGATCTCCTTCTCTGCAGCTTAAGATTGCACTCGAAAATAAACAGCTGGCAAATGATCTGGCAACTCCTTTAAGTGTATGTAAAAAAAAAATGAGATTGAGTAAATACTGGATTGATGTTTTTGTTGTTTGAATACCAGTCTAGTGCATCCCTTACAGTTCGGAGAATGAAACTTATCTAACCGAATGTGTAGATATGTATGTGTGTGTGTGTTATAGTGTTAAAAAAAAGTTGTTATTAAGTATTTCATGTTAGTATAAAATCTCTCTCTCTCTCTCTCTCTCTCTCTCTCTCTCTCTCTCTCTATCTATCTATCTATCTATCTATCTATCTATCTCTCTCTCTCTCTCTCCCTATCTCTCTCTCTCTCTCTCTCTCTCTCTCTCTCTCTCTCTCTCTCTCTCTCTCTCTCTCTCTCTCTCTCTCTCTCTCTCTCTCTTTCTCACCTTCTTCATCCCCCTCTCCATCTCCCTCTTCCCCCCTCCCTCTCCTTCTCCTCATCCATTTTTCTCTCCCTTTCCTTCTCTCTCTCTCTCTCACATACACAACTCTTCGAGTTTGGTCTATCCTCTCCTCCGAATGCTTATTATGGGACAGACAACGATTAAATGAAATAAACTCCCTCTCCCTCTCCTCCCTCTCCCTTTCCCTCTCCTCCTCCTTCTCCCTCTCCCTCTCTTTCTCCCTCTTCTTCTCCTTCTCCCTGAGAAGTCTCTCCTTTTCCCTTTCCCTCTCCTTCTCCCTCTCCCTCTCCCTTTCCTCCCTCTCCCTCTCCTTCTCCCTCTCCCTCTCCCTCTCCCTCTCCTTCTCCCTCTCCCTCTCCCTCTCCCTCTCCCTCTCCCTCTCCCTTTCCTCCTTCTCCTTCTCCTTCTCCCTCTCCCTCTCCCTCTCCTTCTCCCTCCCCCTCTCCCTCTCCTTCTCCCTCCCCCTCTCCCTCTCCCTCTCCTCCTTCTCCCTCCCCCTCTCCCCTCTCCCTCTCCTTCTCCCTCCCCCTCTCCCTCTCCTTCTCCCTCTCCCTCTCCCTCTTCCTCTCCCTCTCCCTCTCCCTCTCCTTCTCCCTCTCCCTCTCCCTCTCCTTCTCCCTCTCCCTCTCCCTCTCCCTCTCCCTTTCCTCCCTCTCCCTCTCCTTCTCCCTCTCCCTCTCCCTCTCCTTCTCCCTCCCCCTCTCCCTCTCCCTCTCCTTCTCCCTCCCCCTCCCCCTCTACCTCTCCCTCTCCTTCTCCCTCTCCCTCTCCCCCCCCCCTCTCCTTCTCCCTCTACCTTTCCTCCCTCTCTCTCTCCCTCTCTCACTCTCCCTCTCCCTCTCCCTCCCCCTCTCCCTCTCCCTCTCCCTCGGTGTTCCTGGGCGAAGGGAGGCCTCGACCAAACCAATATTATTTCCAATAATGCCCAACACAAACAGCGTGGAAAGGAAGTACTCACGCAGCTCAACGGGCAACTCAAGTTATTTCGAGATATCTAAGTCAACAAAGAGAACCGGGGCTCTGTGGATCAACATACCGAAAAATACAACAACAAACACTATAGCTGGATCCGTGCGTAAAGTATACGTGGTACGGCATGATACGGAATTTATCGTAGGAGATTTTTTTTTTTCTTTTTCTTTTTTTTTTGTATCTTAAGAGAATGTGGAAAGGAGATCGGACATTGTTCGGAATGTTACACTTGTGGTTATTCATATCACTATCACTGTTCTTATTGTTCTTGCGGGCCTTTAAGTTGCTGTTATTATTATTGTCATCGACATCATCATCTGATATATATATATACATATATATATATATATATATATATATATATATATATATATATATATATATATATATATACATATATATACATAACCTCCTAAGGAGAGAAACTTCGGACAGCGCCAACTAAAAGGCCGCACATTTTCCCTACAGAAACAATATGCTAAGAAATCCGGCGAGGGAGCGACGCAAACCGAACCCCGTTAAGAGGACCTATGAACCTACGCTGGTTATAATGGCTTGCTTCCTCCTTACCGCTTCGTAATAACACGTAACCATGGCAACGCAGCATCCGGGACATTTTTTTTTTCTGCCTTAGTACCTGTGTCGAGTGATTCTAAGAACAGCTTGGTTTGCGTCAGATGCAGAGCCAGATTATCCTATTGGCCTTATAGACTGCTACCTAGGGCCCCCTTAGATTGAGGAGCCTTACTAAAAGATTTTCAGATATATATACATTTTTTTTTTTTGCGAGTATGATATTTTGATAGTTGGGATTGTTGAAATGAAATTAGATTAGAGTCTGAAAAAAAATGGTTCTTCTCTGTTTGAAGCCTTTTACTTATTGGTTTGTGTTTTGGAAATACAATATGTGCTTGTTTTGCTATAAATAGTAAAACAATGGTATTCCTTATAGAATATTTTCGTCAACAAATTTTTTTTAAAAAGTAGTTTTTTCTAGTTAATTTGGAGAATTTGGAAGACATTAACTTCAAGCTATGTAAATGTCGCTAAAACATACCACGAGCAGAAAGTCTGAAGGGGCCCTTAATTTATTAGCCCGGGGGGGAAAAGGGGTATTAATCCGGCCCTGGTTTATGATCTTTCTTTATAAATAGTGTTCTGTCTGTCTGTCTCTCTCTCTCTCTCTCTCTCTCTCTCTCTCTCTCTCTCTCTCTCTCTCTCTCTCTCTCTCTCTCTGTCTCTTTTCCATTTTTTTATTGCTATCGTCTTCCTTTGTTCTACTTCTCTTGTGTAATTCATCTTTAAAATCAGACAAAAAAAAAAAGAAAAACAGACAGCTTAGTTTGCTATGTGGGATTTACTTCCTTATCTTCCTTTGATTATTTTCCTTTTTTTTCTTGTACTTTTTTAATGAAAATTCTCAAACCGGGTAATCCAAACATATCAAGTAACTGTTAATCAGGCTCTCGAAAACGCTCTTTCACTGTACGTATATGGAGAGCTTTTACAATACACTCTATATTTAGAAATGAGGAAGAGAGGGGTTTCATATAAACACCAGACCAGCGGAGAAAAAATAACATGAACAGAAATGAAAAACAAAGTCTTTACAAACTGTGAAACCCCTTTCCTGAAAACACAAGCGATATCCTTATGTGAAAAAAATTAATTATTCTCTTTTCAGTTATCAAACAAGCTTTTGTTCATGAAAGGGAGACTTTAAACAAAGACTTCTTCCCTATTTTTTTTTCTTTTTTTACTGTAACTTTTGTTCCGCCAAAGATGTAACTCCAATTGTTATATGAATCAAGCAGGTAGTTGCTGGTTTACGTACATAATGTTACGTGTAGGTTTACATACATATACGTACATTAATCTATATGTATTTATCTGTAGGTCTGCGTGATAGATCTGGATGAATTTACATGTAGGTTTACGTACATGTATTTTTCCGAAGGTTTACGCACATAATGTGTAGGTGTATGCACATTAACTTATATGTATATTTCTGTAGTTTACGCACAAAAGTTTACAATTACTCATCTGTAAGTCTACATATATCAGCCTACATATGTCATATAAAACCCATTTGTATTAACCCATTTGTATTGCCCGTAATTACAATATCTGACGAGGAAACCACATTTTTTTTTTCATATCAAGGAAATAAATACCCGTGTTAATACTGTATATTTTATTTAGCACATACATGATTCACAGACTTATTATTTTTCTTCCACTTATCAGAATTCTCAAAATGCAACTTGAACGAGAACCAAACAAGAAACTCGATCCGCTTTCCGCAACTACTCATAATCTTACGTCGTCGTTAGAATTTCTTCAAAATGCAAAATTACTGATATTGTAAATGTGCTTCGGAAGCTACAGAAATGACCCGCATCTAGTGTCCTGCTTTTAAGTCCTTCCTAGATAGTTTTATCTCCTTAACTGTCTTAATATTAATGAGGAAAAGGCTTTAAAAAGTCATACTTACTATATAGCTCGTCCAATCTCTAAAAAAAGAAAACCTGGCAACTCAACCTGGACTCTGGGACATTCCGATTTTTTTCCTAATTAGTTGATTCTTGTGTTTACATGTCTCGTGTTTCTAAAGCGTATATACAATATTCTTTGTTGTCTTTTTTGTTGAAATTTACTGTCTTCAACACCATTGTAATATTCTTACTCGAGAGATTTGTCGTATCGGAGTTCACCATAGTTCGGGGTGGGTTGCCAGTTTTTCCTTTCCTGAAATTGGATGGAATATAATTAGTTATTCATGCTAATTCTCAGGGCTCTGTATAACATCAGGACTCATGGCAGGAATCAGTTCAGAGTATAAAAAATATATACCAGACTAGAGTGTTTTGATGTTACTGTTTTTTGTTTTGTTTTTTAATTCCGCTCAATGTTCATTTCATCCAATAAAAAGTCCAATAATATAAATTCCACATTTTTTTTCTCTCTTTTCTTAACCACCTTGATATATATTTCCACAACTTTTCACCTCACTTTTAAGTTCTCCTTTAAACATTCCTCCTCCTCCTTCTCTTTCTTCTATTTATCCTCCTCCTTTCTCTTTCTCCCTCTTCTTCTCCAACGCCCCCGACTTGGGGAAAACCGGACACTGATTAGCTTTCGTCCGTGGTATCCTGGAGGAGGTTCTGGTAGGACTCCTGCAGCGAGAGAACTGAGGCTGCAAGGGCGTTCCCGTAGGCGTTCCCTGCTCCCTGAACGGTGTCCCACCACGACTCCGAGACCTGGGCCAAGAGAAGGAATGGAGTGAGTGAGGGGAGGGAGGAGGAGGAAGAGGGAGGGAGGGAGTTTAGTACATGAGGGAAGGGAGGAGGAAGGGGAGGGGAGGGAGAAGGGAGGA